GTACAACTCACTGAGTCCCGTTGTAATGATATCCTTATCAGTATGCACTGAACTGCAGTTTTTACAGTGGAATCGACTGGGGGGGGGATAATATCTATTGAGTTCAATGGGAATTTCTCCAAGGGAAAAGGATTGTAGCAACCTAATATATACATAAATATGGAGATATCTGCAATACTGGATTTAAGTAAAACGAATACTTTCTTTAAAATGTAGTTTATAACACATGTACTAAGCACTGTGAGTTGACAAGTCTAAACATTTTGATCAGATGCAGCTACACCACATTCTCGAAAGAAGTACAGAATTTGCTGACTGAATTTTCCTATTTTAAAAAGAGAGACAGAGCACAAACAGAAATAAAAGCTAGAAAAGTCCATTTTGCATTTAAAGCTGGAAATTCAGAAGTCAAAAGGTCATTCAGGCTGGGTAGTCATATGCATTTATGTCCCGGTTTCTCTCCTAATCAAAATCCACTTGAAAAAGAATCCATGTTATTGTTACGTTCAAGCAGTACGAATGCAGGGCCCAAACAGACAACGAAAGAAGATCAATAGCAAGTCAACCAAACGCTGTGATTTTAAAGTAAGAATGGCAGTGAAAATGGAAACCACCCAAATGCATACGATTTCTAACCAGTTTTAAGCGGTACTCAGCTTGGACTGTTAAGAAATCAGAGGATTTAGATAACCAGTAAAGGGCGATAGTAGGGAAGGTGTTAGAGAACAGCCACCACAAAAGAATCAAAGTGTGCATACATGCAAGCTTTGAAAAAATAAAATAAAAGAAGCTTTAACTCCTGTGAAATACTTCAAAAGGTATGGCGAACACCCAAAAGACTAAACACATTCATTATGGCATCAGCATTCATGGACTAGAATCTACTTCACCAACCCTACAAAAAGGCTTCTGCCAACATAAATCGCTTGGGTCTTTAAGGTGCTACAACAAAAAGGAACAAAATCACCCCTCTGTGAATTGTAATGTATTTATTTCCCATGTTAAGGGCAACCTCCAGCGGTGTTTTCCTCCCACCGCCATTCTCCGTATAAAGTTAACAGCTCACTTGCAGCCACACACACCCACAAGCTAAATTTCCCCTTTGAAATCAAGCTGGGACTTTCAACAGAGATGTTCTGATGTACTGCATGTCTCTAGGGAGGAAGGCCGGCTTAGGAACTCTCCGCCTCAGTAGACCAGCAAGCTTAGCAACTCCATCCACAACTGTCAAACTCAAAAAATATATATGTCCCAGAAGGGCAGTTTGGTTGGATTGGAAATCCTGTGGCAGTCACAGACACTGTCACTTTGTGCAGACATGCTGGGTTGCATAATCATTTCTGCAATATTTTGGTCCAATACCATGTTCGGCTGAATACAAAGGCAAAGTAACAGAGGCAATAGAATTGTGGGTTAACAGCAAGGGAACACTGTCCAATGGGTGTTCTCAGTCACACCCTATTTGGAATGGTTGAACATGTGATGCAAAGGCAGTATTGATTATGTCTGAACTACGAGCTTCTCTCCCTTTAAGCTTTGGGGGATGGGGGCAGCCAGGGGAGAGAAAAGACCTTTAACAGCCCATCTCCAGGGTTCTTCGAAGGGATGGGGAATGTGAGAAGTGAAAACCACCAGAGGAGGTGGGGAAGGGGGGGGGGTGTTGGCGAGCAGGAAGAAGAGAGAATAAGAATTCTTCAGCCTATCAACCATAGAGCTGCCGAGTACCCAGCTGGGAGAGTAATTGGAAAGTGGAAACATCCTTAAAAGAATTGCAAGAAAGGAGGAAGAAAGCACAGAAGATTTATTAGAAGGAACTGTCAGGCTGAAAACAGTGCACAGACATGGGAGCCAGAAATACAGCATTAAGGAGGGTGGAGGTTTTTGTAATTAGAGATGCTATAAAATGTGCAAAAACAAAAACAAAAAAACCCACCTCGCCCCCCACAAGTAGAGACACTTCGTTTTCTTCCCTCCCCACTTAAAAATAAGCTGGAAGTTTCCCCACTATGAGCCAATTACTATCAGATATTATTATGGTATATACGATGCAACGTGTTCTATATGCAGCGTCCTATAGTTTCCAGATGCAGCGGAGAGGAAGGGAAGGTTGAGAAGCCACAGCTACCCCCCCGTCCCTCCCTCTCCACGCAAGATGCACAAATCATGGCTGGTAAAGTCTGGAAAGGAGACAAAACGTCTCCCAACAGCTTCTTGGAAGGGCAAGAACAACACGGCTGCGAAAAGAGAGAGTGAAACAATCATAAAGGAGAAAAGAAATGGGGCGGGGGCGAGGGGGGGTCGCGCTGAGAAAAGAACCGAGGGATTGGGGGGGGGTTCGTCTTATTAAAATCGCGCGTGGGTTGTTCAGTTTTGCGGCAAATGGGACCGAAGCTTACGCGGGAGCCAGTCCCGTTGGACTTACTTCCGAGTAGACCCGGGCGAGCTCGTCTGGATATGGAGACGCCGCCCAGCCCGAGTCCGGCGTAAAAAACACTTTGGCCCTCTTCGTGAGCGCGGCAGCGTCGCGTTTAGAGAAGACGCCTCCCCCCCCCCGCCGGCCCCTGTCCAAACGCATCTAGCGAGCATTCCCACGTAAGAATAGACCCAGGTGCCAACCCGCCGCCGGCCACACCCACAGCGCTGCCTCACCGGCTGGCCAAGTCCGCCTGGAAGCCCCGACGGCAGCGAGGGAAGGAAAGCAGCGGCAGCCGCGACGGGGAGCCGGCCTCGCGCTCTCTCCGCTCCCCGCGTCGTTGGGTCGTTTTCCCCGACCGCCCGGCGAGGTCTGTCTCCGCTGGCGGCGAAGAGGCTCTCCGCCCGCGCCAAACTCCCCTCGCGGTTTCACTTCAGCCGAGCCCGCCTCCTCGGCCCTCCCACAGCCATTCGCGGCTGCCTGGCGGCTCCCGGCGAGGAGGGAGGCAGGCAGGCGAGCGGGCGCGCGCGCGGGCAGGAGACCCCAACCTCTCGTGCGCTCTCCCTCGCCCGCCCGCCCGCGCGCTCCTAAGGTTGCGCGAGTTAGGCGCGCGTCAAGCTCTGGACGCCGGTGGACTCGATTCGGATCCGGCTGCGAAACGTGCGCGAGAGAGACACCCACACACGAACATACGCAGTGAGGGGCGATTTAAGGTCCTCTTACTACAGCTGTGGGGGACGCGTGGCCCTCCAGACATCGGAATGCTGCAATATGCTGAGCATTGGTCATAAAACGTAACCCTAGAATTGTAAGGTTGGAAGGGATCTCGAGGACCACCAATCCAGTGGTCCCCAACCTTTTTTTGGCCATGCTCCACCTAGTAAAGGTAAAGGGACCCCTGACCATTAGGTCCAGTCGTGACCGACCCTGGGGTTGCGGCACTCATCTCGCTATGTTGGCCGAGGGAGCCGGCGTACAGCTTCCGGGTCATGTGGCCAGCATGACTAAGCCGCTTCTGGCGAACCAGAGCAGCAGACAGAAGCGCCGTTTACCTTCCCGCCGGAGCTGTACCTATTTATCTACTTGCACTTTGATGTGCTTTTGAACTGCTAGGTTGGCAGGAGCAGGGACTGAGCAAGGGGAGCTCACCCCGTCGCAGGAATTCGAACCGCCGACCTTCTGATCAGCAAGTCCTAGGCTCTGTGGTTTAACCCACAGCGCCACCCGCGTCCCTATTATGCTCCACCTAAGCATCTCTAAAATCCTGATTTCCCACCCCTACCCCCCATATCATTCTTATTTTTCAAAATGTGAACTCCTGTTCCTGTGGAGGAAACCTAAAAGGCCATTGCAAGCTTCCAAATTGCCTCCCTTAAAAATCAAATTGCCCCCCCATGGGGCGTGTGCCCCACATTCGGAACCATGGATCTAGTCCCCCCTGCAATGCGGGAATATGCAGCTGTCCCATATGGGGATCGAACCTGCAGCCTTGGCATCATCAGCACCATGAGCTGTCCAGGGGTTCATCTAGGTCTGTGTAGACTGGCAGTGGCTCTCCACGGTTTCAGGCAGGAATCTCTCTCACCTGGGAGCTTCTGTGTGCAAAACAGAAGCTCTAACCCCAAGCCAATTCCCTTCAATGTGAACTGACTTAATTTGTGCCTCCCAGGCTGATGCTTGTGAGGTGGGTGCTTTGCCAGTGAGCCATGAGTTGTTCCTGTGTCTACCACCATCGTCGGCCATTGACTTTGCTGGCTGGGGCTGATGGGACCCAGCCATGGGCAAAGTTAGGGGTGCCTACAGGCAGAAAAGGAGAGCAGGACCAGCCCACCTATGAGGCAAGGTGAGACAACTGCTTCAGGCATCAGGATCCACAGGGGCTTCACTGCAGGTCCCAATGTAGATCTTTATTCCTTGTTGCCAATCTTCACTCTTTACCCTACGGTCTTCAGATCTTCACTCTTGCGGGGAGCGGGGATGCCATTTTGTGGTTCGCCTCAGGTGCCAAAATGTATTGGTCCAGCCCTGAAGAAGAGACAATCAAGCCTTTGGAAATCCATGGGCTTACAATGCAATGATGCTCATGCCTACTCAGAAGTAAGTCCCTTTGGTGTTTAAATGGCTCCCCCTCCAAAAATGAAAAAGAAAAGGTGTCTAGTAGATTGCCTTCTTAAAACCTGTGGACTTCAGAGAACTTGACTCATACAAAACAAAAGGATTTTTGCATGAACATCACAGGTATAAATCAAGCCTGATGAAAAATCCACGGGCTGTCCTCTTCTTTCAAGATCGTACTTCTGGGTTCTAGATGGGCCTTCCAGGCTATTAAATCATCTTGTGTTTTGCCACAAACAAGTATTCAGATTCTCGACAGAAATGGATGCGTCTGAGCTAAATGGAGCTCGATGCTGCCCGTTATTTCATTAAGAATTTTTACTTGCAAACATAACAAAGAGAAATGGATGGAGAGATAAAGGCATTGCTAGCTAACAACAAGAAGATGCTATCATTCCTAATTTAAATGTCTAGATTAATATATGCAGTCCGTGTGTCTAATGATGATGGTTATCAGAAGTCTTCGGACCACTGGAGATGCAGGGATTGAACCTGGGACCTTCTGCCTCCAAGGCAGAAGCTCTGCCACTGAGCCACAGCCCTCCCCCAGAGAAGCCCACGAGTTCCTCTTCAGGAGCCTGCAAATTCAGCCTGCCTTGGCATGCCATAGTGTGGCTTACCTTGTCTTCATATCAGAGTGGCATTTATTTCCTATTGAACTGCGCTATCTTCCCCTTAGATCCATGGGGAACCTTTATCTCCTTGTTCTCTCTTTACCTTTAATTTCTTTTCTAATCTTCTAGAAGCCTTTGTCCTCCAGATGTTCTTCTGAGAAGCACCACATGCCCTACGATCCCTTCAACCGCTCCTTCCTCCTTCCTGTGCCCCCCCAGAGTTTAATCTCACCTATTGTTTGCTTCCCTTGCCCTCCTCTCCTCATATGCTAGGGTGTGTTGAGGGTTTTTTGTTTGCTTCTTCAAATCCTTGCGGTTCCCCTGAGCCTCCTCCCCTTCCTTTGTCTTTTCCAGTCCTCCTGTGTCTCTTTTGCCCTCCCTGTAATGCAATCCAATTCACTCTGCTTTTTTATTCATCTGAGGCTTAGGGACACCATCCATAATGAGGGTGCATTGACTTACTGCCTCCTCCCCATCTCGGGATATTCAACAGCCTCTTGACTCCAAGCAACTCTCCCTCCCCACCCCCTTTCCCCCAGTTCCCATCCCCAGCTGACACTGCAAATGCTCTTCAGCAATCAATAAAGAAGTGGTTTGCCTTAGCTGTGGGGGAAAGGTATCAAGCAGAGATTTTCCTCTTTAAAAATGAATTGTTTTGCTCGCTTCGCTCTGTGCTGTGCTAAGCTTCCTGTTCAGTTCAAACTTGGGAGGCTTCCCTTTTCTCCCCACCCCCTTCCTTGTTCTCATGGGCAAATGTGAGGAGGGGGGAGAATGACATATTCCAGCTGGATCTGTGTTTTGGTGTGTAAAATGTATTACTCTATTGCAAAGTACAAAGGCAATTGGGACTCAAGGCTGCTGGGTTACAGCTGCTTTGTAGTACGCACTGCCAGAAAATCCACATGTGGGTTCAGAAGCGGTAGATGATAAGATCTGGATTGAAAGCAGCGTTTGTGGACAGAGGAAGCAAAGGGGGGGGGGAGCGGTGTTGTATTTTCCAGGTTTGTGGAGAGCACAAAAGTCCAAGGAGAGGGGTAAGATTCATAGCACAAAGTTCCAAAGTCTGTTTCTTAGACATGTTCAAAACTAACACGGCAAAGTAAGGTAAAGGTAAAGGGACCCCTGACCATTAGGTCCAGTCATGACCGACTCTGGGGTTGCAGTGCTCATCTTGCTTTACTGGCCGAGGGAGCCAGCATACAGCTTCCGGGTCATGTGGCCAGCATGACTAAGCCACTTCTGGCGAACCAGAGCAGCGCACGGAAACACCGTTTACCTTCCCGCCGGAGCTGTACCTATTTATCTACTTGCACTTTGACATGCTTTCGAACTGCTAGGTTGGCAGGAGAAGGGATTGAGCAGCAGGAGCTCACCCCATCGTGGGGATTCGAACCGCCGACCTTCTGATCGGCAAGTCCTAGGCTCTGTGGTTTAACCCACAGCGCCACCCGCGTCCCAACACAGCAAAGTAGAGATGGTATTTCAAGAGCACTTGAAATGATTCTCCCCCACCCTGTCTTAATCACCAGAGGTGCAGTGGGTCCTGAGGAATAACTACAATTTTTATTTAGGAACACAAGGAATCAGCTTATACTGAATCAGACCATTGGTCCCTCTACCTCAGCACACTAACTGACAGAGGCTCTCCAGGGTTCCAGGCAGGAGTCTATTCCAGCCCTGCCAGGAGATGTCAAGGATTGAACTTGGGGCCTTCTGCATGTAAGGCAGATGTCCTACCACTGAACCACAGCCCTTATTTATTTAGATGCCACTTGCTGCCAAAATACCCTTCTAAGCAGTTTACAAGTATAAAAACCAGTTACATAGTCATTCACATATAAGCAACCACAATTAAAATGCATAATAAAAGAATACCAGTCTGTGATGTGGGAATGAGAGCAACAACCATATCTCTAAATATTGTGTGTGTGTGTGTGTGTGTGTGAGAGAGAGAGAGAGAGAGAGAGAGAGAGAGAGAGAGAGTGCAATGGTGGAAAGCCACAGTTGTTGAATTTCTGAAAGCTTCGACCGGTTGTGACACTCTGGTGTATATTGTTCTGTATCAGGCTATTACTGAGCTGGCCCATATTCTAATCCCCCATTGGTCCTAAAGCTATGAACTCTCAGTTATGAACTCTCAGCCTAACCTTCCCCATCAGGTTGTTACGCTGATAAAATATGGGTGGTAACTTATGTATGCTGCCTCGAGCTCCTTGGAAGAAAGGGAAGCAGCTAAAAACTCAGCAGTTACCATTGAGCCAGGTCATTAAAAATTCTCAACTTGGTACCTAAAGTGCTACAGTGAAACCTCAGTCCCCAAACACCATTTTGGAACGTTTTGGCTTCCGAACGCCAAAAACCCAGAAGTAAGTGTTCTGGTTTTCGAACATTTTTCGGAACTTGAACGGCTTTCCAAGTCGCATTTCTCCTCCCCCCCCCCCACTGAAATTGCAGGCAGCCCTTTGATTTTCGGTTTTCGAATATTTCAGAAGTCGAACGGTCTTCTGGAATGGATTACGTTCAAAAACCAAGGTTCCACTGTATATGGATTGTGCTCAGTAGTTGCCTTAGAAAAAGTATTGGTTGCTACTTGATAGATACATCAGATAATGTGGTTGAGTGATACCCAGAGAAGGGCACCTGATGGGAGATCTCATGGTGTGGGCAGCTTTGCATGGGATGGCAGTCTTAATTGGAAGGGCCATCAGCATTGGTGGGGTGTGTTGTTAAATCAAAATGTTTTAGGACCAAGGCCACTGGGTGGTACGTTTTCTGCCACGGGAAACTGCAAGTGCTGTTGTTTCACACATTTGCTTCGCCGGAGTCAAACGCATGACAAAATGCCTCCACTGATAAAGAAGTAAACACTGACAATTGTATTTTGGGTTGTTTAACAGCTGAGCAGCCCAGGGGCCTGATCTCCAAAACCGTTCAAGCAGAGTGCTTGGATTTAAACCACCCTCAACCCAATCTTATCAGGCTTATTAGGCAGTAAGTCCCACAGTGCTCACCGGTGCTTACTCCCCACTATGTGTGCACAGCAAGCTATATCCCATTTAAGTCTGTTGGATTATGCTGGCTTAAATCCAAAATGGATTTGGGGAGATATATAGATATATAACATAATGTTCTATTCATTCTCGCAACAGCCATGTGGGGTTGGCTGTAATCATTCTGAATCCACAGATTGGGGTGGGGGTGGGGGAGACTAAGAACTGGTATCTCACTGAAAGTAAACCGAAGGAATTCACAGCTGATCCAAGTCCCCAAACCCCTAGCCTTCCAGATGCCAGCCCAAAACTCTGGTCCAACGCCTGTCTCAATTGTAATTTCCATTTGTAGCAAAAAGACTCTGTTTCACTCCCCTAGCACCGACTGCCAAACTACACGTTAAATGTGTAATTGGGTATTGCATAGGCCTGTTTTCTCTTTTAAAAGGTGCCAGATGCAGGTGTGTGATCAGGATGAGTTCCACTGTGTGGTGGGGAGAGGGTTTTTAACTCTTTCCAGCCGTGCTGCAACCCCCCCCTTGAAAATGCATCTGCTGTTGGAAACACTTTTATATGCCTGTTGTCTTTGTCCATGGAGTTTTCTTGGTGGGGATACTGGAGTGGCTTGCTGGTTCCTGCTCCAGGTGGATCACGTTTGGTCAAAACTCTCCACTATGACCTGTCCATCTTGGGTGGCCCTGCATGGCATAGCTCATAGCTTCTCTGAGTTATTCAAGCCCCTTTGCCCTAGAAAAGACCCTGATGTTGGGAAAGATTGAGGACACAAGGAGAAGGGGATGACAGAGGACGAGATGGTTGGACAGTGTTCTCGAAGCTACCAGCATGAGTTGGACCAAACTGTGGGAGGCAGTGGAAGACAGGAGTGCCTGGCGTGCTCTGGTCCATGGAGTCACGAAGAGTCAGACACGACTAAATGACTAAACAACAACAACATTGGAAACATGATATTGGCTGAGAATGGCCCTAGATTTGATTCACCAGGCCTCTTCTTAAGGTTATAAGAAGAGCCCTTCTAGATCAGGCAAATGTCCATCAATTTGGCCCTTCATTCTGTTCTCACAGTGGCAATATGGAAAGTCTGCAAGCAGAGCATGAGTGCAGCAGCCTTCTCTTCTCTTGTGATTCCCAGCAACTGGTGTTCAGAAGCATACTGCCTCTGTCAGTGGAGGTAGGCTATATTTGTCTTATGGTTGTGTGTTCCCCAAAAGCCCTCTGTACACTATACATGCCGTGTACCTTGGTCCTCAAAACTCTCCTCTGGGCAACTCTCACCAACTCTGCTCCACCTCCTCTTAGAGGGCTTTTGCTGGGCTGGAAAGCAACCTTGGATTCTGGTAAATGTCTGTCTTGCAGAAGAAGCGGCTCCTACTGGGAGCTGTCTCTGGTCCTGCAGAACTCATCCCCTCTTTTTTCTTTGTAGCTCTCATTCCCCGGACATTGCGATCCAGTGCTTGTACAATGCCAACTGTGGATCATGCTTTGATTCAAAAAGGAGACTAATCCTAATAAATCGCCAAATGAAAAAAGATTATTTTAAGTAGCAGGCTTGGATAATCACAACCAGCTGAATTTGTTGTTGCCTAGCTAATGTTTAGCATGATGCAGAGTTATCTCTCTGCAGACATGCAACAAAGGGCTTGAGGTTATAGCTCTGCCTTGGAATCCCTTTTCAAAGCCAGAGCTCATGTGAACTTAGTAGCAAGAGGGATCTGAAACAAAATGTTGCAGCATGGAGTACTCCTGTGCAAGATACAGTATTCCGTTCCCCCTTCATCCCTCCTGGTTTTCCATTTGACCCTCCTATCCAGATTGCGTATGCTCAGTCAGTTTTGGGACTGTGTGTGAGCACGCATTGGGGGGTGTTATCAATTTATTTTGTACTTCTACAAACCCTGGTGTTTTCCTGAGCCTGGGGATACCTTTTTGTGTGTGGACAGTGCTGTTTTGGCTGCATTACAGTGGCACTCACTTCTGAACATCGTAAAAAGAGTGAGAGATGTTGCAAGGAATGCACATATTACAAGGAACTGGTCCTTGCTTCCTCTCTGCATCACCTCCCTGCATTTTCTTAGGATACAAAGGCAGTTGAATGTTCTCCAGGCAGAAGCCTGGGGTCCAGAAGAGTCCTTTGGCACTTGAGCTGACACCTCATAAGTAGGTGTTTGTACTAGTTTCTAAAGGCCTAAACTGCTTGGGACCACAAGTACCTAAAAGAGCCCCTTCCTCAATATCAACTATATTGGACCCTACCATTGACAGGTGAAACCTTGGTGGTGGTGGTGGTGCCAACACTGGGGTCTAGCTAAGTGGCATTGGCCCATGATGAGGCCTTCACAGTGGTGGTTCTCCATTTGTGAGATGCCCTCCCTGGAGAGGTGTCTTGCCTCCCTCTCATTATTGACTTCCAGGAGGAATCTATAAAGCATTCCTGCTTACCCAGACATTTGATGGCTGAAAGAAACTGTTCCTAGCAACCCTGAAATTGCTGGTTGAGAGAATTTTTTTTTTTTTAAAAAAACTGTTTTCAGAATGTTGTTATGTTATTGGTATTAGAGTGCTTGCTGCCCTGGATACCTTTGGGAGGAAGGGTGGGATATAAACTAAATACATACTACTGTTACCACCACTGCTAATAATAATAATAATAATAATAATAATAATAATAATAATAATAGTAAACAGGCTCGATATATGAGCCAATGGCATGTATAGCAGTAACAGGCTTCATAGCTGGGGCAGCTATTCCAGATATCTTTCTGATATTCAGGTTCTTCCATTATTCCTTTTCAAATTTTCCTTCCTCCTTTCCTCTTCTTTCTTTTTCTGACTATCCTGTCACCCATTTTGGTATTCCTTTTTCAAGGATATTCCTCCTGCTTGTTTGACCCCACCTCTCTGACTTCCTTGCCAGTTCTTTTGCAAATGCAAGATGCAGAGTCCTGATCAGAAAAAAATAAAATAAAATCTGGTCCATTTTGAGTGTCCAGCAAATCAGATGTGTGGCTGAGCATCACTGAAAGCCAGGCATCCTTCCATCCATTTGGGAAAAAAGGGATAACACTTTGTAATGCAAGATCATCCTGAATATAATTTTGCACAGTACAGATAAGGAAAGTATACAGAAGAGTCAGGCAAAGCCTGTTTTCCTGCTCAAGATGTTAAATGCCATTGAAAGAGCAAGTAACCGCAAAATCCTGTTTTAAAATTCAGTAACCAGTAATAAATTTCAGGTTGTAAATGCTGATATATGCCACCTTTGCTCTCTCTCTCTCGCTCTGTCTCTCTCTCTCAAGCAACTGGCTGGATATGAAGTTAGTTTATATGAAGGCGTTTTGTGGAGATGACATAAAATTGCAAAGGCATGGCAGGAGATTCCACCTATGTTTTATGAAGGCCAAGATGGCTGAAACCAGACTAACATGCACCCGTTAAAAGTAGACAACCTACTAGCTGGGAAACCAGATACCAAGACGAAATTCAATTTTCCCTTGCAGATAAAAAGTGAAAAACATTAGTGTGATATGGAAAAGCTGGGGATATGTTTATAAAGCAGAACAGCCCGTGGACTGGTTTAGCACCATGTCTGTAATTGAAAAGCCAAGCAAAGTATGGCTATACATTGATCCTTGTGATTTAAATAAAGCCATTGAATGTGTCTGTACACACACACACACACACACACACACGATTTCAGGTGGAAATAAATTTCTTTTAAATCTAAAATATAGGAGAATCTGAGC